TTTAGCATCAGTTTTCATCATAACTTCGTTGCCATACTTTGCAATCTGAAAGCCCACCTCATCCCAGATCTCCACCACTTCCTTACAGTCAGACAATTGTATGTTTCGTACAATATATGAGACATCAGTGATTGATGTCACATCACTTCTTTCGTTGGCCATTATATCTACCGATTTTGTCCACAACTTGTTATAATTGTTGATGACTTGTTGTCGATGTGACACTTGGAGTGCAATTGATTTGTTTAAACGGTTTTTAAAGTTGATATTTTCTCGTATAACACGACTGCTTATTATCTCCAATCATTTTGAACATTAAAATTGTTTATTTAAAATGATTATTATCTTTAATACAAATTTTATAATTAATTGTATCGTTTCATATACTGTATCTCTAATATCAATGTACAGTACCGGTATTACCATGTGTAAGCTTATACATTGTATTAAGTTCTTTATGTTGCATTACAATCAAATGTTAATTTTAACATTAATTTGCAACAAAAGTACTCAATTAGCACTTGTTTTACAGATAAAAATTTAGATCATCTATATTTTAATTCAGAAACACATTCAATATTAGCTATAAATTGACACCGACTCTCATTGATCAATGTGAAACAATATTTATTTTAAAATTTACAAATAAATTATTCATATAAAAACAAATAACAATTTCAATAAATTTAATACTATCTCATATTAAAACCTTAAGTTTGTGCACAAAATAAATAATTAAAGGAATTATTGGAATTTAAAATTATTAAATCATTAATCAAATGGCATATTCACACGGGATATGGATTATGGTAACATTTGAGTCAAATAACAATATATCATTACAACATTATTTATAATTTAAACACACAATTTGAACTAGATTCTCTTTATTGATAGAATGGTACATTATTCCACAACTGTATAATCATGTGACACAAACTTATAATTAGAATTAATCAATCATGTTTAACTAATGCCCTCTATTTAGTAAACCCAATAAATAAAATATTAACAAATATAAATTATTATGAAAGTATTGAGTAATATTTTAGTACTATTGGGGATCAATTAAATTCAATAAAATTTATAGTAATTATTAATTGTAAATAATAAAAATATTAAGTTATTGTAACTATCAATAGAATATATAAGTAATATAGAAATGCAATAGATATACATATAGAGTTTTATTGTATATTTAAATTCAAATAATTAAAAATATTTATGTAAAAGTATTTTCGTAAAAATCAAAAATAGATTAACTTTGTAAATTTAAAAAAAATTAACTAATTAAACAATTGTTTAATATTATTAATTATTAAAAGGGAAAATATGCAGAACTGGCGATACAATAGATTTTATCCAAATTTCCGTCAATAACCTTTTTAGTGAATGCAGTCATCTGTTTGTGGCCCTCCTTTAGACCCAATTTCTTTGCCATTTGAATAGCCCTTTGATCTGAATCCCAACACTTCAACAATATATCATTTGTCTTATTTGGTGGTAAACGTTGACAGCATTTGTTGGCCAACAACTCAGCGATGTGTTGGTTGTCTGCATAGAGGGGCGCAATACCCGTAATACCATTACACGTGTCAATAACAAAACAATAGCCGACCACTTCTTTCCTATCATTAATGGCCACTAAATGGATATTTTCGGGGATCTTATAGAGAGCTGAGAGATAATTACTTCTGTCTAAACCATCGCAAACTTGTTTGTCGTATTCAATCACATCTCTAATGTTATTCTCGTTGATGGCCTCTAAAGAGATGCCATCAATTGAATTGATAATATCTCGGCTGATATTGAGTGGTCCTCTCATATGTTGAGCCATTCTGTCGGGTATTTGTTGAAAATTGTAAAGATCTCTATATATGGCAAACATTTTCAAATTGGCCGCAAAGAGACCGACATTCGTGTCGCCCATATATGCCATCGCTTTATCCCATAGGGTTTTACCAATACCTAAGCGCTGGTATTCGGCTCTAACAGCATAGCCGCCGATAAACGCCAATTCAGGCGATAGCTTCACAGCACTCACGTATCCAAACACTTTTCCTATTCATTCAATTCATTTCAATTAGTCTTCACTCAAATTTCATGTCAACTAATGCTATATCTAATCATATATTTACCAGAATCGGTGTTTTCGACAACAAATACGCCCTTTGGATCAGTTGTGAACATGGCTTCGGGACCGCATTTAATGACATTAGACTTCGATGATTTCCATATCTCTCGCACTTCATGGCAATCAGACAATCGGATCTCACGTATTATAAACGATGGTATCTTTCTTACAGACATTGTGTTTGATTTTAAATTATTAAAACTTTACTTATTTAATATTTTTCGCATACAATTGAGTTTTGCATTCAACGAATAACTTATATATTTATACTAATTCTCTACCAATTAATACAATACAGTAATAATGTGTTGATTAATGATTGCCTAATACATGATCTAAATGTTGTACCAATAATGCACCACAACTTTAATCTAAAGTAGTTAACTGATTGTGATTGTGACAGCACATATAACTTACTGCTTAGTGCATGGTACTTCTAATAACATACTGTATTATGAAATGCAAGTTGTGGTTAGTTCAATTCAAAATGTGAATTTTACATATTACAGTTAATACCAAAACAATAAATTGTAAAATTCATGCGCGTCTGTAAAGCGCGTCATCTAAATAACTATCATTTTATTATTTAACATCTTTTTATCAATTGAAACCAAAAATGCATCATGCACATAATTGACAATTTATTTATAGTTTAAATTATTAAATATTTTGCCAATTTAATTTATTTTATCACTAATTGTAGTATTGTGTGTGATTTTAAAATATAATCAAAGTAAAATTAATTTTATATTGCTGTCAATTATATAAAATATACAGTAATAGTTGTTTATAATAGAAAATCATATGAACTAATTTTTAAAAATTAAGAATTATTAGTGAAGTCAATACTGAATTTTATAATTAACATTTTATTTGACAAATTTATTTATATTTATTGTTTGTATAACAATAGATAGTTTTAATTAAATTTATTCTAATTGTCATTTATTGTTTATAAAAGCAATGATTATCTAAAAACATAACTGTATTAAAAAGAGTAGAAGAGAGTACTGGCGATACTATAGACTTTGTCCAGTTTTCCGGTTTCTATCTTTTTGGTAAACGAAGTCATTTGGTCTCTCTTTTCCTTTAAACCCAATTTCATTGCCACTGCTTTTGCCTTCTCGTGAAAATTCCAACACTTGTAGATCAGGTCATGGGTTAGGTCTATGGTTAACCGTTCGCAGCATTTGTGGGCCAATAATTCAGCGATTTGTTCGTTGTCTGCGTAAAGCGGTTCAATACCTGTTACGCCAAAAGTTAGGGCTAAGACAATACAATAGCCCA